AAGATGAATGGAGCGTCAGTCACGGCGACTCCGACCATGTGCTGCTCACACCACCGCGCTTCCTCTTCATCCTTCAGTGAAGCAACGGATTGTCCCAGACTTTTCCCATCCTAATGCCCCGGCTCTGGTGAAGCAGCAGCCGGTGGGCGGAAGAGCAGCAGGCTAAATGACTACTGCCCTAAATTGCTTCCATCTTGGTCGCATTATGGTTTGCATTCTGGTAATTAGCACCATCATCTACAAATCTCTCTGCCCTTTGGCGCTGTTCCACCGCTGCCACGGAAGGTCTGTGCTCGAGAATCCCCCGGAGAGTCGACGGTTAATTTGTCTTTCCCTCCCATACATCACCCAGCCAGGCTGCCTCTGTCACTTTATTTACCTCCGCCATCAGAAAACAGGGGGGCAAGGATTTTTAATTACAAATGCCTTTGGAGACCCCCACATATAAGTCAGACGCACACACCAGAACATGAGCCGGGCCGTGTGTATCTGAGGTTGTTCTGGTGGCCATTTCTAAGTGAGACGACCTTGATGTGGTCAGATGCTGGAAGAGGGTGGAACCTCTGATGTGGTGTGCTGTTTCTCTCAGAAACTATTTTAATTGCGCTGCCTTCCACGCCGCCCACATAGCATCCCCGGCAATAAGCAGGGACAAACCATCTCAATTTGTGAGGCACGTGCACACATGTGCATGCACACTCTGGGATAAGAGTTTTTCTAGACTTTTCATTTTGAGGTAAGAGTTTCAGTCACGGCGGACGGGTTCGGATCCTATGTCCTGCCGCAGCTTCATCCGAGGACTGTAGAGCAGTCGAATCAAACACACACACACACACACACACACACACAGACAGTCCTCCAGCCACATCACACTCCCTACACAAACCTTAGCGGAAAAGGCCAACATGTATATTTGCAGCAGTGGGTTGAATCTTCAAAGATATTTTGATGTCCTCTGTACCGTCGCCTGGGCTGGGACCCACGATTACGTCCTCCAGTTCACAGGCTGCTGCTCTAATCCGTCCCTTTCTTCTTCCACTCCAGTCTCTGGAGTCTCGTCTGTTTCCACAGTGAGTGGAGTCTTTGTGTTTCCAAGTCATGTTTGACATTTCCAGGTGACAAAGAAAACAAACAACAGCAACTAGATGGAGAATTAGTAACAGCTCCACATTTTCATGTATTTGGGATAACTTTTTTTTTTTAATCACCTCCTTTACCCTTTGGAACTAAGCTGTCAAAACCACTTTCAAGAAATAACCCAATGAATGTTTGTGCCTTTTATATATGCACCATTTATATGAAATAAATAAAACAATAAATATTGAAGTTGTTGTAGATTTCAACGACCACAAAGGTCGCCACTGCAGAAAAGCCAGTGTGAAGTCATTTAGAATCAGCTGTAATCAATGCACGTCAGGCTCTCACAGCCAGAGACTGCTCTGGCTGCAGACCACTGGGAGTCCAAACATTACAGAATGAGACGGTGTAGTTTACCTAACACACAGAAACACTGACTGACGTGGGCGGAGTCTGTGAATCTGTTCACCAACGAGAACAGATTCACAACAACAGACTCCACCCACTCACATGAAACATCAACGCTGCCATAAACGATGAGCTTTTATTTGGATTGAAAAAAATAGGGCTGTGGCCATTCAGAAATTGAACCCATCCAACCAACCATGCATCCAACCAACATCCATCCATCCATCCCTCGGAACCCATCCAACCAACATCCATCCCTCCATCCAACCAACCTACAAACCAGCTAACCATCCATCCATTCAACCAACCATCCACCCATCCATCCATCCAAACAACCACCCATCCATCCAACCATCCATCCATCTTGTGGTGTTATTGCTCCTGACAATAACAACATTCTGACTACAGATCAATGATTGGATAAAGAAGCAGAAACAGTGAGAAGAACCTGGACTCCACTGAAACTAAATATAAATCTAACTGATTCCCAGCTCAGACTGGTGAACATCACAAAAGAAATATCTCCTCAGCTGTAGCTTTTTTTTTAAAGCAGCTTTTTGATTCCTGGGCTCGTCTGCACCCTTCAGAACCTCGTCCTAGTTTTTTTTGTCGGAGGCAAATCCACTGTGTTTGGGACTTTTGTCCAGCAATCGGCACAATACAAAGTCGACTAATTGGTCCTTGAATGTGGCCAGGAAGGCTTTCGAGTTCACATTACACTGCACACTTGCATTCCTGACTGTGGCTGGAGTGATCAGATCCCAGTGCATTCTGGGAGCATTCACACCTGTGTTTAGAAGCAACGGGACAATGAGACAATGTTTTTTTTTTTTCCCCTCAGAGAGAAAAGCTCACGATTATTTAGCCAACTTGAAAAATATTTCAACCTGTGTCCGTCTAACACTTGACAAATGAATCCAGAGCTGACTGCATGGAGTGCCCTGACACAAAACCCCCAAAACAGACATTTTAACTTTACTCTTTTCTTCCCTGCAGCCACGAATAAAGGCAAGAATTTCAGGGTTCCTTTTTTAATTGACCTCCCAAAAAAAAAATTCTCCCCCACCACCAACCCCAAAACCCCTCTTGGTACAAAAGGGTTTCTTTTCTGCAATAATACAAAGGTTATTAGCCAGGTCCTTTTTCTTTAGTGGAGGAAAAGGGAGGAACCAGTAATCCAGAGCAAATCAAAATGACCTTTGAACCCTTTCTGCTGTACTTTTTCTCATGGCCAGATTTCTTTGGTGAGGCGCTGATCAGAGGGCTGGACCCGGCTGCTACCTCTCGTCTCCTGACAAATCGCTGCTGAGCCTCCTTTGTCCACAGCACTTTGATCTCACCTGCTTGTCAGGCGCTTCAGGAAAAAAAAAGAGTCTAGTACAGTTCCACAACACAGCAAACAAATTGGCAACTATTTTATCCCCCACCTCCCCTGCCTCCCTGCCTCCCCCCTGTTTCACGTCCACTCTTTGGTTCTTGCTCAGCACAGTTCACCCTTCAGACACACTGTGCAGCTCTGGTTCATGGTGTTTTTAGAACTTTAAACATGGTCAAAGCTGGATCAACTTGGTCGACTTCTACCCCTAATCTATTTGTGTAATTTTGAGGATATATATTTATATACATACACACACACATATATATATATATACTATAAATCCTGCTAGTACATAGGGGCTATATACTGGCAGAATCTAGTACACCTTTGATGTAATCTTGCAGACCAAATATAATTCCACCGAGGGCCTGATTTGGCCCCCGGGCCTGAGTTTGGCACATGTGGTTTAAGCTGTCTTTACCCCACCATCGTTGAAGGATCATTAAGATTTTAGACTGTCTCCTGTTAGTATCAGAGTCTGAACGACCTGTTGTTTTGAAACATTGACAGATTATTTTTGAATGAAAAAAAATAAAGTGATATGACTGGATTTATTTTTCGAATGAAGTAAATTGATAAAACTGAAGTTTTTCAAAGGGATAAGACTGGATTTATTTTAGAATGAAGCAAATTAATAAAACTGAAGTACATTTTTTCAACTACGGGCCGGGGGGGGGGGGGGGGAGGCGTGGACCAATGCTTTTGGAAAAAAAGACGATGAAAGATTTCACCACATTTTCAGTCGTGGTGGAGTTGGCGATGCTGAGATCAGGATGGACGGGATTAGAAATCAGTTCACGGTTAGGACCTGTACTGAGGACGATATTGGACAAAAGATGATGTCATTCAGGATAAAGTATCTCATAGTCCTGTATACCATGTCTATTGTAGTAGCTTAGTGGTTCATGGTGGAATGTGAAATATTTTCTTCATTCTGTAAAAAGACGTCAGTAACTTGACAAAGTTGTTTCATGGAACAATGGGCCCCCCATTGCCCCCCCCCTTCCCTGCTCCCATTTACGTTGATTCCAATGTAATGTACCAGGATCACTGACTACAAAGGTTCTACTGCCACATTAGCAGACTACAGGTTAGCTGTGCCTTTACTGTGCGTCTTGATACAGGAGTTCATGTGCATTTGGCACATCAAAGTCCAACGACGGCCTCTGCAGCGATGAAAGAGTCAGGGCGGGGCTTGACTACGTATCCCACGTATTCATTGTGATATAAATTGGTTCTCATGCACAGAGGAAACATGAGCGAGCGGACAGATGCTGAAAGAGACGGCTGACGAGCCGACGAGGCCTCATCATGTTTCTCCACTCACACAAAAAAGGAAGTGGTTTTATTCCGACCTGGACCGCCTGAAAACAACAACAACCTTCAGAATGTTTTTCTCTCTTTCCCGTTCCTTACCATGCTTTCTCTTTTACTCTAGACTTGACTCGCTCTCTCTCTCTGTCATGCAGTGTCACTCTTTGTCTCTCTCTCTCTCTCTGTAACCAGATAGGCCTGTCCTATACTTCTACAGCTCTTTGATTGTTAGCTGCAGGTTTCAGATGCCTGCGGAGCGACTGCACCTTCCAACAGGCAAATGATTGTGGACAGATGAAACTCTAGAGGCCATCAATGGCTGTGGGACACACACACACACACGCACACACACACACACATGGACACACAAAGAGGAAGCACTACATGGGATAAAAAAATACAAAAACATACTTGCATACAAGCAACAAAAAGCTTGATATTCACACGCACATTGATCAAACCACACACAGACATACAGACCATACACTTCAAAAAGCATGAATGAAATATATATATATAATACACACACACACACGCCAACACACACACACACACGCAGGCAGTGGATCGTGTTTTGCGTGTATGAAAGTGATGTAGTGAAAATTAACATACATTTCCATTTTCATGAACAGGAAATCACTGTATCGTTTTAAGCTAGTCGATTTTTTTTTTTAATAGACTTTTTCCCAATTCGATGTAGCCTAGCATA